CTAAAACAGATTAGGCGCCATTTTGAACCAAATATTCAACATAATCTCAAAACCACTCTGGATGGACTATCTTGTGCCGACATGTAGGAATAAGCAGATGGAAGAATGTTTTTACATGTCAAGTCCTTAGCCCTTGAGGAATTCTGGTATCTTGTATATGGGGTTAGCAAATCACAAAGATATATTGAAGGAGCTCATAACATTGCAAACCATATATTGGAACCTGAAAAATCTTCAGCACTGGCGTGGCTTTTACGCTTTTACGGGGTGCGACACTAGTTCCCTTTTTTGCATTGAAAAGAAAAAACAGAAAATGGAAAGCATATGGGAAGATTATCCGGAGGCAACCCTGCCCTTCCATTATCTATCTTTAATAGATAGTAGCATAGATATACCACAAAATATATTAAAAAATTTAGAGAAATTCACTAAAACAGTATATGATGCAAAAAGCAAACTTGAAAAAGTTAACGAATTGAGAAGGGTGCAGTTTTGTAGTGGAAAACCACCAATAACCATGTGTCCACCCTCACAAGACAGTCTAATGGAAGACTACAGAAGAGCTGCGTATCAAGCCGGTCAAATATGGGGTCGATCGCTGTCACCCGGTGAACCTGTTCCATCACCTGGAAGATGGGCTTGGAATTTAACAAACAACTGCTAGGAGCCAGCTATCACAAATTTGGTGACCTGTAAGAGGACTAAAGAAGTGTTGATGTGAAGGTCAATGTGAAGACCAACAGATGTGCGTGTCAGAAAGCAGGTCTACCTTGTACACCCACATGTAATAACTGCAAGGGTGAATGTCAAAACCAACGACCCCTATAGTTTGCAGTATCTGTTAAAGCGACGGCTAGTGAGGTAGTGCCACGGTGCCACGGAGCCATGGCAGTACCATATTTTTCTGAAAAAAGTTTTGTAGTCTTCATATGATACTTTGAAATATTTCTGTGAAAAATTAGGTAATGACATTGCTTCATATACCTCAGTACTACCGCATCAGACACCGCTGATCTGTTATAAAAAAAACTTTTTGTCTTTAATAAGACATTTTAAGTTGTATATGTTATGCTAAGCAATCATTTTTGCTTTTTAACCCCCTTCAAACATGTTATATTGAAATTATTTTAAAATTATTTTAAATTGATTTAAACTGTAATTTTCAAAGTTACTGAAGGTATACAATAAGCGATAGTCAGGTGTCAGATATTAAGTCAAGGAGGCAGTCGGTAAGTTCAAACCAAGGTAGGGGGGAAATGTCCTTGTTGGTCAGAATGAATCACTTATGCATTCAGGATGTCAGTTTATGTCAAAAATTAAACCATTATCAGTCAAAAGTTCCTTAAATAGTCTAAATTTGTCAAGGAATGAGTCGAATTCTATTCTTAGTCATATGGAAATCCAGACTACATTGAAAAAAATTGAGAAGTCTTATCCAAATGTTTTTAATATGATAGAAAAAGTCATATTATAGGTTTTGAAGCTAATTTGGTAGTTGAAGAAAATTCAAACAAGATTTTCCATAAGGGCTTATTCTATCCCCTATTTTTTACGAGAAAAAGTGAAACAGGAACTACAAAGTTTAGTGTCAGAGGGTATTTTAACTCCTGTTAGTCATGCTGATAGTTGTGGTGCCAAAGAAGAACAATAGCATCAGAATTAGTGGGGATTTCAAGAAAACTGTTAATCCGATTTCAAAAATGGATCACTACCCTCTTCTAATTCTAGATTACTTGTTTTTCTCAGTATCGGGTGGATGCATGTTTAGTGTATCGGATCTCTCCAATGCTTATCTTCAGTTATCAGTTAATAGGCAAAATCAAGAGTTCCTAACAATTAACAATCATATTGAATTATTCAAAAACACTCGACTGCCCTATGGGATATCAAGTAGCCAAGCTATATTTCAGTCAACTATGGAACAAATTTTGAAAGGTCTAGAGTTTGTGGGAATTTATCTGGATGATTGTGTAATTTCGGGAAAAACTAAATCACAATGCATTAAGAATGTGATAGTCTTGCAACGATTTGAAAAAGACATCAAATTAAACTTAGACAAAAGTAAATTCATTCAGTCAGAAAAAGAGTTTTTAGGTCATACCTTGAATAAACAAGGTATAAAACCTTTAAAATCAAAAGTAAAAGAAATCATTGATACCCTACTAATTTAACCCAACTCAAAAGTTTTCTTGGTCTGTTGAATTTTTATTCTAAATTTTCACCTCACTGTTCAGATACCTACTCTAGTCCACTTAATGATTTGTTAAGAAAAAGTCAACCATTTAAATGGGGAAAGTCTCAATAAGCGGCATTTGAAAAGTGCAAAGAGATGATAAATCATTGTGTTACTTTAACACATTATGATTCTCTGATACAGAGCTAATAGTTACTGTAGACACTAGTCCTTATGGTTTGGGAGCGATTTTGAGCTCAGTAGAAAATGGAATGTGTAAACCAATTCAGTTTGCATCTTGTACGTTGTTTTCATCAGAAAGCAATTATGCTCAAGTGCAGAGGGAAGCCTATGGAGTCGTATTTGCAGTTCGCAAATTTCACAAGTTTTTGCATGGGAGGAAATTTATAATATTCTCAGATCACCAGCCATTGAAAACCATTTTTGGGGAAACACATAGGTTGCCTACATTAGCTCATGCTAGGATGCAAAGATGGGCTGTGACGTTATCTGCATATAACTATGAGATTAAATACAAGAAGGCTAATGAGATGTCTAATGTTGATTGTCTATCAAGAATGCCACTGTCCGAGATGTTTGAAGAATGTAAACCAGAGAAGCAAGTTTTTGCTTTCACATATGAAGATAACTAACCCATCACAGCCGAGTTGATTTGTAGAAAGACAAAGAAAGATAAATGTTTAAATAAAGTTATTGACCATGTTGAATATTGATGGTCTTACTTCTTACTGCAATGAAGATAACTTAAAGCCTTATTTTCAACGAAGAAATGAGTTAAGCGTTGAATGTGAATGTTTAACCTGGGGAAATAGAGTTGTTGTGCCAGAATCTTTGAGAGACAAATTGTTGGATATGTTACATGAGAGTCACCCTGGAATGGTAAGAATGAAGCTAAGAGCTAGAAGTGACTTTTGGTGGCCAAACATCAATGATAATATAGAGCGTTTAGTTAATCAATGTCAACCATGCCAAATTCTACGTAATCCTGAAAATAATGTCACCAAGAGCGAGAAATTTTTTTCAAGAATTCGCGTTGACTTTTATGACTTGGGAGATTATAAATTCTTTTTGGTGATAGATAGTACTTCGAAATGGTTAGAGATTTTTCGAATGAAAGGAACAAATGCTCAGCAAACGATAACGAGATTTGGTAGAGTTTCTAGTATGTTTGGTCTTCCTGAAGTTTTAGTGACGCACAATGGACCCCCTTTCAATAGCGAAGAATTTCATAAGTTTTGTAGATCCAATGGAATACAACTAGTCAACACCCCACCTTATCACCCGGAATTGAACGAAAGTGCGGTAAAATCAGTTTCGATAGTTAAAAACTCATTAAAAAAGGAATTTTTACAGGAGGAGTTGTATAAGTCGGTACTAAAAATTAAGAAGGATATGTAGAATAACATTTTTGACAGATATTTTTATCAGAAATGCCATTGAATTGATCATAAGCTAGATAACTTTTTGTTTAATTATAGGAATACTCCAAGTACGATTACTATAAAATCACCAGCAGAATTGATGTTTAAACAGATCCCAAAAACAAAACTTTATATGTAAAATTTAAAAGGAAAGTAGAAAGAAAAAGAGAGAACTATGTAATTGAAAGTGGAAATATAAGAAGACGAGAAAATAAAATGTATTTGATTAATCAGTCAGTCATGTTATACTTAACACAGCTTAGGAAGTGGATTACAGCAAAGGTGTTAAAGGCAGTTAGAATTAATTCTTATTTAGTGATGACTCAGAGGGAAGAGTGCGATATGTTTATGCTGATCACTTAAAACCACCGCTGTTGCAGTATCCAGAGTCAGATGTTTGGCCTGATATTCCTAGTAAAGCAGCTGTGGAAATTTTGGAAAACCCGAATAACCCCGAAAATATAACGAGATATTCTGGTGACCGGAAATCTAAAGAAATTCATGAGTTAAAAAATAATTTCCCACCTTCGGTAGAAGTGTTAGAACCAAGAACTCCTATACTTCCTTGCCTACTCCTATTTCTCTTACATCTAAATATCCCATTAAAAAAAAAAATTACAGTTTCTGATCATTCAGGGACATCTTCACGCTTGTTGCCAAGGACATCTCCACCCTTGTTGCGTAGATCTCAAAGATCTGCCAAGGCTCCTGTCCAGGTTGAACCTCCGAACACTAGGATCTTCACAAAAGCTAAGTGGGAAGGAATGTAATGTACGCGCTCAACACTTTATTATAAAGGATTGTATGTGGTCCATTTTTTGGGCAGATGATAGGTTTGCCCTAGGTTTGACTGTTTTTCTTCAAACCTACTTTATTATAAACTTAACATAAGGCACCCTCTCAGTCATCATCCGATGGGTGATATGTTGAGTGGTGGGTTAAAATAATTAGACAAGTAATGGCAGTCTCTGTCAAAGATCCACTATGGTAATTGATTGAGTTTAATGTTGTAAGCTTGGAGTTTCTTTTGAATAAATTGGATCTTCAAGAATCAAGTCGTATTTCAATGTTGTGTACCTAAATACACAATACGGCCTCATGTCAAGATCATTTCGCACTTATACAGCACCGAATATTACGCTTTGACGAGGCATAAACCAGTAGTTTAAGATGTCTCTCCTGGTAGTCTCCTGAATTCGAAAGTAGCGTAAAATCAACTTTATATGTTACCATGATGCATCTGGTCCATCTGATTGCTCGTGGCTTAAGGGATGAGTGACAGGCTGCGATATAACTTCTGATTTTTTTTTTGTAACAAGAAATTGATGAATATAGGTATCTAGATTCAAACAAAAAAACACTAGTGGTTTTCGGATTAATTCATTTTATATTTGAATGAATAATAAGTATTATTTTCCCTGCTTATCCAAACCCCCGTTTAAAAGGTGAGCTTAGTTCCTGGATGATTAGCTCTATTATTGCAATAGTCCTCATTACATTCCTCACAATGAAATTCTGGAAGCTCCCACCACCTATCAGCCAACTCTTCTTTGATGTTCTGACATGTTTCTCCTATACCTCCTATACCAAGGCAACCTCTTCTGTATCTATAAAAGTACAATTTTTTTATACATAATATGACATGTTTGGACTTAGGAAAGCTACGTGATAATCCATGGAAAAATATAATTAGATCAGAAAATATCACCTACCTTGCAGAATAAATTTGGGGCACGCTTTTTGGTTTTTCTCCAATTTTAGCCTCATACGAGACACAGCCCCGAGGGCAATCATAAACTGGCCAATTTTGTCCGTCGCAGTTGCCATATTTACTACTGTCGTTGCAAAAGTAACATTTTGTGGCCTCTAAAAAACAAATAATTATTTCACTGAGAGCCGGTTTCTTAATAGCGAGTAACCTCCGGGTTGGTTTTAACCCCAGGGTAAGCATGTCCAGTTGCTATGTTTAGATTAGATTATATTAGATTGTGTTAAGGGCGTTTAGGTGATGGACCTCTCTGTACTGCGACCTGAATACATCTATTGCGCTTCTCCTTTTTTTAGTAAGTTGAGACTTTTCGCGAATCTCACGATTTTTCCGCGTTTAACATCCGCAGCAGTCAAATGTGTCTGCTCCAGATGAATGAGTTTTCTGTGACATAATGTTTCGCATTTGCAGAGTATATGTTCGGCAGATTCGGATGCTTCTTTGCAGAAGCGGCAAAGGTCTGTTTCAGCTGTGTTAATATGTGGCTTTTGAAATTATGTTTTTGCTTAAATTTTGCATTGCAAGTGTCACATTCAAATGGATAAATATCCGAATGTGTTAGTTTGTAAATCTTTAAATCGGCTTTCCGTTTAAATTTTGATTTGCAAGTGTCACATTCAAAAAAATAAATATTCGAGTTTGTTAAAATGTGCCTTTGTAAATTACCTTTTTATTTAAATTTTGCCTTGCAAGTGTCACATTCAAGTGGATGAATACCCGAATGTGTTAGTTTGTGTATCTTCAAATCGCGTTTCCGTTTAAATTTTGCTTTGCAAATGTCACATTCAAAAATATAACTATCGAAGTCTGTTGATATGTGACTTTTCAAATTACCTTTTCGTTTAACCTTTGCTAATTTACATTTTTCTTTAAATTTTGCATTGCATATGTTGCATTTAAATTTCTTCTCATCCAAGTGTGTTAGTTTATGTCTCTTCAAGCTGCCTTTTCTTTCAAATTTTGCTTTGCAAATGTTGCATTTAAAATTCTTCTCATCCAAGTGTGTTAATATGTGTGCGTTCAAATTACCTTTTCGTTTAAATTTTGCTAATTTACATTTTTCTTTAAATTTTGCATTACATATGTTGCATTTAAATTTCTTCTCATCCAAGTGTGTTAGTTTATGTCTCTTCAAGCTGCCTTTTCTTTCAAATTTTGCTTTGCAAATGTTGCATTTAAAATTCTTCTCATCCAAGTGTGTTAATATGTGTGCGTTCAAATCACCCTTTCCTGCAATTTTTTTCTTACCAGTGTCACATTTAAAAGGAAAAATATCCGAGAGTGTTGATATGTGACGCTGTAACTCATTTTTTTTCCGCTTTGTAAGTGTTACATTCGAAAGGACAAATATCCAAATGTGTTATTAAATGATGTTTCAAATTTGAATTGGTTTTAAATGTAGAATTGCAAGTGTAACATTGAAACCTTCTAATAACATATTGTCTTGATAAATTGATGTCACTCGTATGTTCTTTTTCCTTTATAAATATTCCTTTATTTGGATCTATTAATTCAATATCTGATTTTTCTATTTCGTTTTTAATGCCATCCTCTATGTATGTAGACTTGGTAATTTTTTTCTTTCTTTCATGGTTTAAAAATCGGGTCTCTATGAGAAATATGGACAAATTTTTTGATTTTCTATATAGATAAAGGACTCAATCAATTCAAAATACCTATTCTATGAAAAATAACATTATTTTCTCCGTAGTTTATTGTATTTTTTCCGAATTTGAATTTACTTTTTCCGAATTTTAATTTCCATTTTCCTAAATAATAGTTACTTTTTCCGAAATTGAGGTTGAAATGGTGTAGAATGAGAAACTACCATGTCCAATAGTATTTTAGAAAGCTTCAAAATGTATTTTAGAATAGTCATTTATTTTGCTCATTTGTATTTGAGAATTCCCCATGAATAATGGAATACCTACATTTCTTAAATACAATTGACTATTGACTATTCTAAAATACAATTGAAGCTTTCTAAAATAGGGTTGGAAATGGTGTATTTTTCAAAAATGTTCGTACGATTTAAAATTTTGCTATAAGACGGTAAAGGGAAAGCAACGAGCTATCGAACGATGTGCAACACAAGGCAGGTTTGTATTTAAAAAAATAAGTTAGGGTAGCTACCCCCTAAGGGGTGAGGCTCAAAATGTTCCTCATTTTGTTTCCCACTCCAATCCCCAAATACGTATTTGAGATTTTCCTGAAAGTATTTTTTGTCTAAGAAATATTGGCGATTGCTATTTAACAAATTGTCACCCTGTATACCTATAAGTATCTCCGAATTGGTGATTGTTTAGATAGAAAGAATTTTTCAAGTTTTTTTATATACATATTTATTTATGATGATTATTTAGACTGAAGTGCCCTTTTTTACGCATAAAAAATTTATTCAATGGATTTTGATTCCCCCTACATATTTTTCTGCGGGCGCCCCTGCCTCCGGGTTGGTTTTAACCCCAGGGTAAGCATGTGTAGTTGCTATGTTTAGATTATTATATTAGATTGTGTTAAGGGCGTTTAGGTGATGGACCTCACTGTACTGCGACCTGAATAGATCTATTGCGCTTCTCCTTTTTCTAGTAGGTTTTAACTTTTCGCGAATCTCACGATTTTTCCGGGATTGGTTCGTTTAAAATCCGCAGCAGTCAAATGTGTCTGCTCCAGATGAATGAGTTTTCTGTGATTCTGTGACATAATGTTTCGCATTTGCAGAGTATATATGTTCGGCAGATTCGGATTCTTCTTTCCAGATCTGATTCAGCTGTATCCATCTTTTTCAGGTGGTAGACAAAAGGGCAGTGGCCGGTGAGGAGACCCGTTATGAGCCTCAAGTCTGGTTTGCTGAAATCGAGTAGTTCTTTTACCTTTGTTGATTTTGGTGAGATGAATTTCTTCGCCTGTCTAAGTCCTGGAGTATTGTTCCAATGGGAGGCTTGCTGTGCCTCTACCCATTTTTTGAGTTCGGTCTTTACATGGCTTTTTGTTAGGCCAAAGATGGATTCTGGATCGAGGAATGGTGACGTGGCGCCTTCTCTTGCAAGCCGGTCCGCTATTTCATTTCTTTCTATGTTTTGGTGCCCTGGTACCCATGCTAGAGTGACTCTTTTGCAGTTCGCCAGTTGCTTTAGAAGTTGCTGACAGTCTCAGACTAGTCTGGATTTAGTGACAAAGCTGTTAAGAGCCTCAAGTGCTGCCTGACTGTCAGAATTGATGAAGATTCTTGCACCTCGTAGGTCTATTTCAAGACACTTTCTGGCACAGAGTTCTATTGCGTACGTTTCCGCGGAATATGGTGGGGTTTTTTCCTAAGGCTACCGATTAGCCTGCAGTTTGGGAAATATACGCCCGCTCCGACCCCTTCTTGTGTTTTCGATCCATCTTTTGCGGCCTTCTGCGGTCACGCTAAAAAGGTGATTAAATTCGTATCTGGGTGGCATGATGTCCACCGGTTTTGTTGGTTTACCATAGCATTCTTTAATGATGCTCATGTCCTTTAGGTTTAGAGACCGTATAACCCTTGAGGCCCCCATGTAGGCCTCCCTCCTCACTGCAATGTGCAAAGGGATGATATCTAACATGACCTCTATAGCAGCGGTTGGACAGGTGTTTATGGGACCTGTTATTCCAAGACATGCATACCTTTGTACAACTGCCAATCGATTTTGCCCTGTCTGCTGCTTCACTTTTGGCCACCACACCAATTTAGCATATGTGACCAGGGGTCTTATAATCATCGTAAATAACCAATAGATCATTTTTGGCTTTAGGCCCCATATTTCACTGAGTACCTAGTCTTCGGCATGTCCAGTACGCTTCTGTTGCTCGAACGATTATTCTTTTTAAATGTGAGTTCCAGGTGAGCTTTTGATCTAGGACAACGCCAAGATATTTGACTTCACTTGAAAGGCCTATTTGTATTCCAACCAGTGTTGGAGCTATTAAGTTGAGCTTCCTTTTCCTTGTGAATGGTACAATTATTGTCTTGCTAGGATTCACCCTTAGACCCTCTTGCAAGCCCCAGCTTTTGATGATGTTGAGAGCATTCTGCATGAGTTCACTAATAATCCCATCATGCTTGCCTCTAATGATGATTGCAAGATTATCAGCACATCCTAGGACCACAAATCCATGGTAACTTAGTATGTTTAGAAGTTCATCTATTACTATGGATCATAGCAGTGAGGATAATACACCCCTTGACTGCTAGGATCGTCGCTGAGTCGCTTCCAAGAGTTACTTTGATTTTCCTATCCAGTGTCCTCGAAGTCTTTGTTTTTTGCCGCCTTTCTTATGGACTCGTAAAAGGTAGTTGCTATGTTTACCCTGGAGTTATGCCCACTCGCTATTGAGAAACCGGCCCTGAATGCAATAGAAAAAGGGAAAACAAAAACAGGCATAATGGAAAATTATTTTTAAGTGTATAATTAGCTTTGTTCGCGTGGTGAGGGTTCAGAACCAATTCTAAACGCTAAGCAAGCAATCACAATAAATAAACATTTTTGTCTGTTATTGCCAATTTCCATTGTGTTCGGTGCCTTGGCATACCGCGAATAAAGCTATTATATACCTACCGCACTATCGAGCATGATAAGTGTGCTACTAGGTACAGAAACTACTTAAAATGCACAAAGAAGTTTATTCCAAAACCGATATTTTAACAGACAATCATCAGACAATTTAATTCTATTCTGTGATTATATCACTCAAAATCTGACAATTAGAATTCCACGTTTTTCATCAGCATACCTAACGTACAGGTGTTAATTTTCATCACCTTCGATAGGTATAGTATTTGTAGTACCCATTTAGAATAACCTCATCCTTATTTGACAATCACGAATCAGATGAAACAAAAAATTACCAACAAAAACGAACGTCGATTGCTAATACGTCAATTTCATGTACAAATAGGAAACTCCTAACCTAATTTTATTTGTGTGTCAAGAAGCGACATACGTTTTGTCACTAAAACGATAGGTATTTCTAAATGGGTATTAAAAATTCTATATCCACAATCCCTCCATTATTTTCAGTTTGAGGGGTGCTACCTTCTTTAGGGATGGAACAATATTCTGTTGAGTCGAATGCA